GTAACGATTACTCGTATATTGTACTAATCAACTCTTTAAAATTAGCTTTTCAGTAAAGGCCACAGAGGTAAATATTTTTGAAAAGATCTCAATGCAAGTGGTCAGGATCGATGTAGTAACTTTAGATGGTCTTCTTAATAAGTTGAAATACATTTGGTTTGGTCCTATCTGCAGCCAATGCAGCGAATATATATATAAAAACACGCTTTGGCAAGGCTTGGCTCCTTAACTCCTTAACCAACGCATTCATCCCCACATAATGACGCTCCTATTTTAAATAAATATTTAACCTTGTACGGATCATTATCATAAACAAACGTTGTCAAATGCATTCAAGGTGGGTTTTTTTCTTAGCTAAAAATAGAAAACTGTCGTGTTTCTTGTACATTTAAACAGTTTTACTGCCGATGGTCGTATAACTGAAAATATTTTGCCAGGTATCTTTTCTGTTCAGGAGTGCACAAATATTTTACACAGCCTCATGTATTTTTGCAGTTATAATCCCACTGATAATCACGAGATGATTTTTTGTTTTGTGTACCGGTAACAAAGTATCCTCAAATACTTCTAGGCGTTTTACTTATCCGTGTAAAATTGCTGATTTTCATATACCGGTATCTAACTGGATGGCTTTATTTTCTCTCATTAACAGGTTATATAACAGAAAGTCTACCGCATTTCCAATCATCAACAATTTCATTTTAAATAATTGTTTTATTTTCGATGTTTTGGAATTTCCACATCTGTTCTACTCTCAACAGCATATGTTACAGCACTATTTGGCAGCCGCACTTCTTTACTGTTGTTCAATTTTTCTTATCAGAGCCAGTGCCTTGGGGTTTGGACATGTTGCACTTTCCATAATATCTCATACACAGACTCCGCAAAACAGAATCTGTTATTTCCCACTGCTTTCTTTTGATTTCATGGTTTTTCAGGGTCTTCCCTATTCCAGAGTGTTCATGTATAACACATCAGCAGCCCAAGCGGGATACGAATCAACAGCCGTACTGGGCAAATGATCTGTAGTCAATGACTTGCCACTTAGGTCACTAAGAACAATATATCTAGAACTTCTAGAACTCTTTTGATAGGTTTTGCAGTAAATCAATGAAGCGTCAGCCATTAACATAATTCATTTTTTCCGTATAACAAGTAATATGATTATATAACTAACATTTATACGTAAAATCACTAAAATCATCAATTTCTATATGCTATTCTTTATCATTCAGAAATATCATAACAATTTTTTTTCAGATAATTCAACATTCATATTTAAAAATACTGGTAGTTAAACTGAACATACATAATTATTCTAAATATATTTTAAGTTAAATTTGACATGCGTAATTATTCTATAAAATATTTTCAATTGAATCTAACATAATATATTTTAAATATATTTTCAGTCAAATCTAACATACAATGTAGATCATTTCATATTTTCAGTTAAATATGTTCAAGAAACGAACTATGTTTACATCCTTTTTCAAACAACGAAATATGTGAATATGAATTTCACAAATCTGTGCACTGTATGAAAATACAGACTCACAATATTAAGCAACTTGCGTTAAAACTATGAATGTGTGTCGAACACTAAATGCCCCCACTTCGGAAAAAGGCCTTGAAAAAATATTTTCACTGGAATGTTAAAAAATAAATGAAATTTAATATTCTGATAAGCACATATGCTCTCTGGAATATGTAAGGATACATCTGAAATTTATGGCTAAAATCCTATCGAAATCTTAATTTGTTAACATATATTTGTCCCATTTTGAATTAAATTTAACGAAAAACTGTAAAATCATAAATAAGGAAAAGTGATCATATTTAAATGATGGAATACATAGAAACGTTTCCATATGACACCAAAGCATGCAATTCCACTGTTTTATCAGCCTACAGAGAGACAGAGATATGTTAGATTTTTTATGTTTTTGGTTTGTTGGGCTTTACTTCGCACCAACACAGTTTTGGTCAAATGGCGACTTTTCATCTTTTACAGGTGGAGAAAGGCGTCAGGTGCACCACGTTGCATTATTTTCAATAGGACCTTCCGTAAGCTAGCTGGATAGCTTCCTCACATAAAAAATCCAAAGTTCCTGGCAAGCCTCGGACGTGGCTTGAAGTCAATGACCTATGAAAATACATTTGATTCCAAGCTACAAAATTATTTTGTTGAACACAAGCAAAATATTCAAATGAAAGCCTTGGGCCCAGAAAAATGATAATGTAAAATGATGATCAAAATAATTCCTTAAACAGGAAAAAAACCTGCGTTTTATTTCTAAAAAGCTCTACTTCTAAATTAAATTATGTGCATAGATCAAATTCTTAAAACAAAAATAAGCAAGTACAAAGCTTGATTTTATGAGCATCATTATATTGGTCATACAAAATATATTCTGTCAAACCTAGTCGTCATAACTATACTACTCATATTACAGTTTGACCAAGTAGTTATTACATAATCTATCAAAAGAATGTCAATGTCAGCATAAAACATTAAAAAAACAAAACAAATATAAATATTCTTGTAATTGAGAAGGCAATTAAAGAATAAGTCATGGCAATCAACATAACATAGTAAAGGAGTCCAGAATAGAAACTTTGGCAAAACTCTTTATTTTCACTGTGGTCCTTAAAACGTTTGTGGAATTGTAGAAGTTTTTTAAAACAAGAAAAAACTAAGATATAGGAACAATGCCTCACAAGAACAACAGTACTTAATTCAAAAATACAACACTGATATTTTGAGTGATTTTGAAATAAAGACAAAAACAGTGAACAGTTTGTGCCATTAACATTTCTGGCATTCAAAGCATTTATTTCATTTTCATTTCTATCTGGATTTTAGGTCACATGAACCACACGTCATATGAAGACTTTCTAACTTTACAAGTAAAGAAAGACCTCTCAAAGGGGTTTTCATATAAATTATGCTCTTTAGCTGCCTAAAAAAATGTAAATGTAGGTCTATGACCAAATTTATGACGGAGATCAATATATTGTTACCTTTTTGTATAAAAAATACTTTTTTTTCTAGTAAAAATGAGACCTGGAACTTTGTACCAATTAAATACAATCTATTTACTTATGTAAGTAAACATTATGATACAAGGTATCAGAATGACATGTTTAATATGAGCCGCATCACAACAAAACCAACAGAGTGCGTTTGCTACCAGCATGGATCCAGACCAGCCTGCGCATCCGCGCAGTCTGATCAGGATCCATGCTGTTCGCTATCAGTTTCTCTACTTGTAATAGAGTTGGTAAGGGAACAGCATTGATCCTGATCAGACTCCCTGCTTGTCTGGATCCATAACGGTCGAAAACGCACTACTGTATGTTGGTTTTGTCCTGTCACAGCTCAAATATATTAACTATGATGACTGAAAAAAATATAATAGATCTACATAAATGGAGGTGAAAACACATTCGAATATTATGGCTGACTTAAGACAATATGTAATTTTTTGTTCTATTTATGTGCAATGAATAATGTAAATAATTTGTGAAATGTGACTTTTTTAATGCTTAGGTCTACAGGCCTGAAAACATAAAATTTGAAAATCTCACATAGATAAAGATTCACAAAAAATGAACAGGGTAATAAAGAAAAACTCTCAATTTTAATTTGAAAATCGACAAAACGTGCGATTCTCAGGCCGATTTTAGTTAAAAGCGTCCTAATGCTTTTCAATTTTATATATGATGTTTTGCACAAAAAAGATTATTCCGGAAAATGGGGTGAGCGAATTACCTTAAATTGTTTGCTAACATGTTAATGGTATAGACCTTCATTAAATGGTATGAAAATATGGAAAAAATATTGCAATCGCCATCATGCGAAAAAATCTCATTGGAGTCCCCTAAAAGAAGCCATTTTTGCCATTCGATGCTAAATGTGCAGTTTTCAGATACAAAATTTGTTTTATACTGTTTGTTTGATTGGGTTTTACGTCACAGTATAGGTCATATGGCGACGTTCCAGCTTTACTGGTGGAGGAAGACATCAGGTGCCATTCTGTCCATTATTTCAAACACGAACGGGTACCTGAGTAGAACCATTGACGTTCCCTAAGTTAGTTGGATAGTGTTCAGAACTACAATTTGGTCAGGATTAAGATGAAAACATTTAAGAATACAAAATACATCGTCAAAAATAATTTACATATTCATGAATTCATCACAAAACTATATCAATAAAGTACGTTTTTAAACTTCCCACATCTAATCATTAACAAAACATTAGCAGTGATTTTTCTCGCTTTTTATGGCAACAATCAACAGATATGTCACTTAATGAAATAAAAAAAAAGATATCATATATTTGAAACATTTGACATATGGAGGGGTATTTTATACAAGAGTAAACTATGTCATAAGTAAATAATTATCACAATTTTGTTTATAAAGAACTGTATTAAGAAATACTAAAATATTATGATACACTAAATGAGATTATAAATCTATTGCAAAAATGTTGAAAAAGTCTTCTTTTTTTAAAAAAAGTTTTCATAGTAAGTGAGTACAAGGTACTATATTTTAAAAAAAATGACCAAGTACTTTTGTATTGAAACCTTTTAACATTGATAAGTTTTATACACTTGCAGTTACTAATACACACATATTTATATGTCAACATGTTTACACAACAAAATAGACAAAGATCAAAATAATTTCAGCATCTTCTGGGTGTGTTTGTAAACACAGTAAATCTATTCAAAAGCATTGTCAATATACAATACCAAATTGAAGACTGGCGTCATTTCTTACATCTGAATACATATTTTGCACACATGAGCAAAAACTCTATGGCACTCTGAATACAAAATGTAGCTCTTTCAGCTTCTATGACAATCATGTTAACATTTAATATACATACATACATATTAATATTTTAGTATTTTTTATCCAATAAAAAGGCCCATAAATAAGGGTATGATCATAACACATACAACTGAAATCAGGAATTATAATTAACAAATATACATACATACATATTAATATTTTAGTATTTTTTATCCAATAAAAAGGCCCATAAATAAGGGTATGATCATAACACATACAACTGAAATCAGGAATTATTGTTAATTATAACTGCTGAAAATGTATATCACAAAATATTGAAATATATATAATACAGAAATCACCGGCTCTAAGACAAGAAAATATTGCTTACATTCACACAGATTAAAAATAAATCAAACATTTCAATATATAAATCTGTGAAAAGCTAGCATAATGATACAATTTTTTTAAATATCCTGTAACTTGTACATACAATGAAAACATGTAAATTAAGTTATTTTTAACAGTGTTTATTTATACACTTAACCTCTTGTAGAAATAATAAGTTACATTCACACTGTAAAGATCGCATGGCAACTTTCCAGCTCTACTGGTGAAAGACAACCTCAAGCACCTAAGCAGAACCACTGGCCTTTTATGAGCTAGCTTGATTGCTTCCTCACATGAAAGAATACATAGTCCCTGGTTGGATTCTGAACCAACAGCAATGAGGGACACATGATTTAGCGACTTTAACAATTCAGTCACAGTGACCCCAAGGAGTCAATTGGTTCCCATCCCTTGTGCACACTGAGACAAATTAATTCATTTATCTAACCTGCACAATTCATTTATACAATAGGATAACGAGTTCAACATTGTTATTTTGTAATACATGTATCTCAGTAAACATATAGGTAACTAGCAATGTGTGAATTGGTCCACTTGACTTGAGATAAATTTAAAATGGCATATTAACATACTTATGGTCAATAAGTGAGTTTCATAAACATTTTTTTTGGTTGGGTTTCACATTGCACCAACACTGTATATGTAATATGGCGACTTTCCACTTTTGCTGGTGAAGGATGACCTAAAGTGCCCCTCCATGCATTATTTTAGGCACAAACAGGTTATTTCCGGCTCAAATCTAAGATGGTTGAGTGACCGAGACTAAAACTAAGTTGCTCCTCTTTTCCTGTAATAATTATTGACGAACATTTATCTAATTGGTCATTAATCTACTGCATGAAATGTCCCTGCCATTCCCTTGCAATAACTGACGATTCCCCTTGCAGATCTGTTCTTTCCTATCTAATGCTTGTGTAAAAATGCACCTATTTATACTTTAACATTATTGTGACCTCTAACCTTTGCTAAAAGATGAGTCTTAAACAGGTCCTAACCAGTTTTAACTGTCTCTTTCCTCCATGAGATCCTCTTCTAAACAGGCCAAAAATTGTCTTAAATCTGTGTGCTCATAACAAATCAGCTTTCTCTACTATCTTGCACTGTCAGATGTGACATGTTTTTTTTTTACTGTCATGTGCACCATCAGATAACGATTAACATGTATGTGACATGTGATTTCTGCATTTTCTGTTGCGTTTTCTTTATTCTTTACTTTTTAAATTGCGATATTTTCTAGAACGAGCATTGCTCTCTTCTTTCTTCACATTCTTGACATGTTTTTTTAGAGAACTTCAGAAAACTACTTGCAACCAGTAATGTTGGGTACGAGAAAAAGATGTTCTGTAACAAAGACCCTATGATGTTCGTTATACTCGAATTATTTCAAAAAACACCTCCATATCATGCTGCCCATAGAGTTATCACCGTCTAACTCTTTCTAGCATGTGTTTAATGAACATCTATATATGGTTAACTTTGTTCGAGGATTAGCATATGATAACTTGTACCAAAGTACCAGTAACAAAGATATATCTGTAACTTGTGACCTTTATGTCCTTTTCTTCCTCACTGAGATGAACATTCCAGCCATTAATATAAACTCTTCCCTCGCTAGTCAATAACCAAATGTAATTAATGCCTGGGTCCAAGGTTATAAATAAATTCTCTACGCTCTGATATTTGATTGTTCAAAAACTGCCACAGAAAGTACACTGACCAATGAAAATCCTGAGATTTAATGTAAATAATTTCTGTTGATTCTCAGGTAAAACTGAGTAATCATGTTTGCAAATCCAAAAAACATTACCAAAATCATAAGGGATAATGCTTCATAAACTGTGTTTACCTAAGTCTACTTCAATTATTGTTGAACTTAACTTCTGTCCAAGCATATTCGTTCTTTGAATCATACGACACATTAATGACCCATAATTTACCAGAAAGATCGATAATTTTTTTGTCCATAAATCTTTTGTTCACATATCAATGTTTGGACTCTTCTGGTTTTGTATCTAAAGCAACATTATCTGTAGCTGCTGAATGAGTTTGTTGTAACAAGTCAGGCTCTGTTAAACTCCTTGTTGCCTCATCATTCACAGAAGAGATTGACTCAATATTTAGTCTTTCAACATTTGACTCCCCTGACGAAAACCCACTCTCCTCATTTGCTTCTCTTGAATACTCACTCTCAATACTGGGAGGTACAAACTCCACACCACGTGTTTCTTGAGTCCTATTAGCAGATGACACATTGCCAACATTTGCTTCATAACTTGTCAAGCTTCTAGGGGGGATATTTACTACTCTTTGCTCTTGTGTTTCAGGATTTTCTCCTGGTATTTCGGAATCCATCCCCATTGATTGTAATCCACTTAATAAAGGCAGGTTTCCTGATGACCCACTTTGACTTTCACGGTTGCCATGGCAACCTTCACCACCATCACCTTGACCCTGAACCGGAGGACTGTTCCTCTCTAGCTGTTCCTGGTTCAACTCTGCATTTCTGTTACCCTCATCTTCTCTTTGATTTGATGCACTACACATTTCCTCTGACTCACTCCTATGAATTGGACTGTAACCCTCTAAAGCTTGACGATTTCTTTCAGACAGATTCACCTGGTTAGAATTTCTTTCAGACAGATTCACCTGGTTAGAATTTCTTTCAGACAGATTCACCTGGTTAGAATTTCTTTCAGACTGATTCCCTTGGTTAGAATTTCTTTCAGACAGATTCACCTGGTTAGAATTTCTTTCAGACTGATTCACCTGGTTAGGACTTCTTTCAGACTGATTCACCTGGTTAGGACTTCTTTCAGACTGATTCACCCAGTCATTTCTCAATTTCACAGCATCAACATCAGAACTTTGTTGTGATTGCAAACCAGACGGATCACCACAAGCTTGAATTGCTACTGTACCTTTCATTGGCACATCTTCGATAGAGTGCATTGGGGAATTAGAACAATCATTGTTATTGTCCAAAGACTGAGTTGATGCACAACTGTCGGGTCTTTGGGTTGATGGACTATTTGGAACATCATTAGAAGTCTGGTTAACATCAGTGGCAGTGTTAGCTTCATTAGGGCCTAAAATGAACAAAGGTATTGATATAAAATGTGGTAAATCTTTATTACTATTTCGCATTATTATAGTGAAAGGAATTTTGAACAAGGGTGCCATAGTCACAAAATACGCCCGTTTACGAAAACTTTAGATAGAGATGGGGGCATTATGGATAAGTGTTATCTAGCAAGCAAGTTTTTATTCTTGGCACTGTGTTGTTAAATGAACCTTAAAACAAATCAGTAGGGAAGATATGCACAGGATGTGTGACCTTGACCTTGGTCGCAGGGACCTGAATTTTATGTACGGCACTCAGCCTCACAATGATGAACATTTGTGCCAAATTATATTGAAATCCCTCTATGCATGTAGAAGTTTTGCTCCAGACAAGCGTTTTTCTATGAGCTCTAACTGTGACCTTCACCTTTGACCTAGAGACTTGGTTCATGTGCAGGGCAGTCCGTCTCATGGTGGTTAACAATTCTATAAAGTAACATTAAAATTCCTCCATGCATGTAGAAAATATGCTCCGGACAACATCTGGATATTAAATCATCTCTGGTGACCTTGACCTTGCAAATATTAACCTAAATTAAATGTGTCACACCTGTAGTCATGATAGTTACCATTTGTGCTACAATCCATCAATAAATGATGACTAAATGGTCCCTATACACATCTTCAAATTTTTATCTGAACTTTGACCTCTATGTGTAACCTTGACTTTGGTCGCAGGGATCTGAATTTTGCGTGCGACACTCAGCCTCACAATGGTGAACATTGGTGCCAAGTTATATTGAAATCCCCCTATGAATGTAGAAGTTTTGCTCCGGACAAGCGTTTTTCAATGAGCTCTAAGTGTGACCTTGACCTTTGACCTGGAGACCTGGATCATGCATGGAGCAATACATATCATGGTGGTGAACATTTCCATAAATTATTATAAAAATTCTTCCATACATGTAGGAGATATGCTCCAGACAAAAACTGGATATTTCACCATCTTTAGTGACCTTGACCTTGCATATATTGACCTAAAGTACATGTGTCACAGCCGTAGTCATGATAATGACCATTTGTGTTACAATCCCTCAATAAATGATGATTAAATCGTCCCTATACACATCTTCATATTTTTTATCTAAACTTTGACCTCTATGTGTGACCTTGACCTTGGCTGCAGGGACCTGAATTTTGTGCGCGACACTCCGCCTCACAATGGTGAACATTTGTGCCAAGTTATATTGAAATCCCTCTATGCATGTGGAAGTTTTGCTCCGGACAAGCGTTTTTCAATAAGCTCTAAGTGTGACCTTGACCTTTGACCTAGAGACCTAGTTCATGTGCGTGACATGGCTTCTCATAATGGTGAACATTTCTATGAAATTTCATTAAAATCCCTCCATGCGTGTAGGAGATATGCTCCGGACAAAATCTGGATGTTTCATCATCTTCAGTGACCTTGACCTTGTATATATTGACCTAAATTATATGTATCACAGCCATAGTCTTGATAATGACCATTTGTGTTACAATCCCTCAATAAATGATGCCTAAATGGTCCATATACACATCTTCATATTTTTATCTGAACTTTGACCTCTATGTGTGACCTTGACCTTGGCCGCAAGGACCTGAATCTTGCGCGCGACACTCCGCCTCACAATGGTGAACATTTGTGCCAAGTAATATTGAAATCCCTCTATACATGTGGAAGTTTTGCTCCGGACAAGCATTTTTCAATGAGCTCTAAGTGTGACCTTGACCTTTGACCTAGAGGCCTGGTTCATGTGCACGACACTGCATGCTCCTTATAGTGGTGAACATTTCTATGAAGTTTCATTAAAATCCCTCCATACATGTAGGAGATATGCTCCGGACAAAATTGGACGCTGCCCGCCCGCCCGCCAGGGGTGTTCCCATAATACGTTCCGTTTTTCAAACGGGCTTATAAAAATGATGCATTTACTTTTCAAAGGTTGGTAAAGGCTGCACACTGAAATTATAGTAAAATTACTCTCTCCGCTTTATGGCAATCAGAGTTCTTAGTCACAAAACAAACAATCTTACCCAGTCTGAGACTGTTGGCACACCAATTTGTTAATATTTGACCTTTGACCCCAATATGTAACTTTGACCTTGGCCAAACTGACTTAAATTTTAAGTGCAACATTCTGGCTCACACTGGTGAACCTTTGAGGTTTATTTAGGTTATTTAATATCCCTCTAGGTATGTTGAGATTTTGCTATAGACAAGCTTTTTTTTCTGACCTCTAAGTGTCACCTTTACCTTTGACTTAAAAGATCTCCAACACTACTTTTCATGGTGGTGAAACTTTGCATCGAATATGCAACCATGTATGTAGAAAATAATTATGCTAAAGATCAAATCTGGTCATTTCATCATCTCTTGTGACCTTGACCTTGCATATCTTGACCTGTCAAACACTTGTGGATAATTTTGATATAGTATTTGTATTAAAACTACTGGATTGTTCATACACACATTTTCAAATTTTTATCCAACCTTAGACCTTTCAAGGGTGACCTTAACCTTGGCTGCAGAGACTGATTGTTGCATGCGACACACTACCTCACAGTGGTGAACATTTATGCCGAATAATATTAGAATCTCTCAATGTATGTAGAAGTTTTGCTCAGATGAAGTGTTTACCTTTGACTTCTAAGTGTAACCTTGACCTTTGACTTAGTGACCTGGTTCATATGCAGGTCACAACAGCATATGTATCAGGAAATGCTTAAATACCACCGCATATATTGAATATATTTTCCGAAAAAAACTGCATGCTGCCCTCCATAAATATTTCAAGACTTCAGTGTTGTTTTCATGGAAAATAAGTGTTCACTAATTTAAAAGTTAATAGTAAATAAGGCTGATAATGGATAATTAACAAGTTTGCTTTCAATGTTTTTTTAAATCAAAGGGTAACTTAAATTCTAACTTCTTGTACTTGTTTAAGTGGATCTTGGTTTGTTTGTTTGATTGGGTTTTACATCACACCGACACAGTGTAGGTCATATAGTGACGTTCCGGTTATACTATTTGAGGAAGACCTCAGATGTCCGTCCTACGTATTTCAGGCATGAATGGGCACCAGGGTAAAACCACCAACATTCTGTAAGCTAGCTGGATAGCTTCCTCACATGAAAGAATCCAAAGTCCCTGTCGGGATTCAAAATCTCAGCAGTGAGGGACAAGTGGTTTGAATTCAAGGACCTTGACCACTCGGCCATGGAAGCCCCAACGTTTTAGTAGATGATAAAAGTTTGTTTTCTATAAATTACCTGGAGGAACATCAATCTGTGGTATAGATATATTCAAATCTTTACTGGCATCAACCTTTGGTGTTTGGTTTCTATTTAGATTGTTGTCTTTAGGTCTGCTAGATGTATTCTCAGGTATAACTGTAACAGAAAATGGCATTCTGAATTCTATCTGTAAATTGTTAATTCTACCACATCTTGGTAGGTTCATTGTTTAATACTTACAATTCTTGCATATCAGACAGAACAAGAATTTGTAACAGAGTTACCTACGTCCCTCGCCTCGGGGAAGTTTTATATGAAGCATAAAATTGTGCAACATTTAATCGTATTTCAAAAGATTGAAGTATGGATTTTAGCACTTTCAGTCCAAAATTATGATCAATGTTAGATCTGTCAATGCAACAATAAATTTATGAAAGAAATACAAGTAAAATGAAACACAGAATTTAAAATTCTATCATGTTAACCTTTGACCTCTAAGTGTGACCTTGACCTTGGAGGTAGGGGTGCAGGTGTTATGCATGACATATCGTCTTATTAATATAACTTCTTGTGCTAAGTATTTTCAAAATCCCTTGAACTATGTAGAAGTTATAGACGGGACACAAAATAAACCATATAACAGACTCAATGTTAACCTTTGACCTCTAAGTGTGACCTTGACCTTGCCGATAGGAGTGCAAGTGTTGTACCTGACATATTGTCTTATTATTGTGACTATTTGTGCCTAGTTATTTAAAAATCCTGAAGAAGTTCTAGATCAGACACAAAATATACCCTAAAACCGACTATGTTAACTTTTGACCTCTAAGTGTGACCTTGAACTTGAAGGTAGGGATGCAGGTGTTGCGTATGACACATTGTCTTATTATAGTGACTATTTGTGGCAAGTATTTACAAAATACTTTGATCTATGAAAAAGTTATGGACTGGACACAAAATATACCCAGTAAAAGACTATGTTAATCTTTGAACTCCAAGTGTGACCTTGACCTTGGAGATATATGACTGCTTGTTGCGCAAGACACATCGTCTCATTATTGTGAATGAGCAAGTGCGACCTTGACCCTGGAGGTAGGGGTCTGGTTGTTGCGCATGACACATCGTCTTTTTATAACAAACATTTGTGCCAAGTTATTTCATATTCCTTTGATAAATGAAAAAGTTATGGACCGGACACAAAATATACCCTGTAATCGACTATGTTAATCTTTGACCTCCAAGTGTGACCTTGACCTTGGAGGTAGGTGACCGGTTGTTGCGCATGACACATCGTCTCATTATTGTGAACAATTGTGGCAAGTATTTACAAAATCCCTTCAAAGATAAGAAAGTCACGACTTTTAACATCAAATAGACAATGTTGACCTTGAATGAACAACTGCGACCTTGACCCTGGAGGTAGGAGTCTGATTGTTGCGCATGACACATCGTCTTATTATAACAAACATTTGTGCCAAGTTATTTCAAATTCCTTTGATACATGACAAAGTTATGGACTGGACACGAAAGTGTGACAGACGTTCCAACATTTTGGGTTTAGGGGTTATTTTCTTTGTTTTCTTAAGGCTACTAGCCCATAAACCCTTTGATCACGGAATGAACCTATTGTTCTCTTTTGTTCTCTTTACTGTTATATAGCCCCTAAACCAAAAATTTTTGCTCGGACGGACAGATGGATGGATGTACTAAAATTTGATGTTTATGAGGCAAATCAGCTCATAAACACCACCTGGACCAATGTCCATAAGCAAAATAAGCTCATAAAAACAAAAAAAACTCTTTATTTGAATTTTATGAGTTTTTGTTCTTTATTTAACTACGGAATGAAGCTCATAATAATCAAATGTTTGCTAGGAAAGACGGACGGACAGACAGACGGACGTTCTCACAGGACAGTAATTATGTGGCTACTCCATTGTTCTCTCTATTGTTCTTTTAAGCCACACAAAAGAAAATAGCCACATAAAAGCATTACGGAATGAATGACATCAAAGAGAAAGAACAGTTACCCATTGTCCCTATAGCCACATAATTACTCTCCTGTGAGTGCGGACGGACAGACGGACGGAGCCTATTTCTATATCCCCCTTTTTTCTTTGAAAAGGCGGGGGACAATTATCCACCGTTTACACCGGTGTTACCCCCCATGTAAGACAGTCATGTGCTTTAAATTATGTCATTGCCGCACCTTTTATGAATGAATTGCGTTCTTAAGACGATGTCATTTTACCGTTTTGAATGAAGTTGTAAGTTTATAAATATAAGAAAATTTTGTAACATGAATATCAGTTTTCATAATTTCTGTTCTAAAAATAATTGGTATGTAATATGCAAGAAAAAGAATCAAACACTGACTGTTGGTACAGACAGGAATATCTAGCTCTCGGGTAACTGTTTAGCAGAAACTCGGCGGAGCGTAAGCAGGTACCCTCGAGCTAGATATTCCGGTCGGTACCGGCAGCCAGTGTAAGATTCTTATACTCTAACATTTGGAAGGCTTTACAAAATAGGATGTAATATATATTAACTCTTTCGCTGCCTACAATACATCTGTCCCATGCACTGAACTATGTATTTGCCTGTACCTGTCTTCGCAGTATGATATCTCATTATTGAGAATTCAATTTTTTCATAAGTGTTTTTCTGATTACTTATGTATTTTAATTCCAAGTACTAGTCAAAGATATATCTTTTTCCAAATATTGTTCATTTTCTTCCATAAACGTGCAAGTTAATAGATCCATATTTCTTCATTATGGTTTTCAATGTCCAGTGTCAACAAGTACGCTGACTAGACATTATTCAGTTATTGAGAAAATTTATCGATTCAGATGCAGGATTTTATAGCATATGTTTCCAAAACGTGTGCAATTTTTGTCGCAATCGCGTGATCTAGAGTAGACACTGATTGAAAACTCTAAATTATTCTAGCATATACTTTTTTGATGAAGGGAACACAATCGCGCAACCTAGAATAAGCACTAATTGAAAAGTCTTAATTATTCTAGCATACACTTTAGAATTGAGGAAGGGAACAATTCCATTTGATCCATATTTTATTTACAAACCTTTGTTTTGATGCTCTCGTAATATACCCAAGGCCTCATGGATCCGAAATTGAACAAACAGCCGATCCAAATCTTCTAATGTATAATCTCGCTCATCTAGGATGTCTAAAAACGCTTTTCCTGGATTCCGATGATTTCCTGTAAAAGAACCAGTTTAAAAACCTGAATCAACATCTACAAAATCTATTTATAGAATCTATGAAAGATGATAAAAAAACAATGAAAGCAAATGGTGAAATGGAGTCCTCCCTCCCCTAAATTTGCCATTAAAATCTACTCTCATTTGTCACATTTATCTAATTTAAAAGGGCTCAGTTGGGTTTAAGCCAAAAACCAATCAGAAAATTGAACAAGAAGCACCGCAATGCGACAAAATCAAGTTTTCAACGGCCAAGTATTGATGTGATCTTAATCATAATACAAACATCTTGATATTAGCTACCCACATACTAAGTTTGGTGTCAATAAGTCAAAGCAAACTGAAGTAATTATTGAGAGGAAACTTAATTTTTAATTTTAGCAACAGTGACCTTGACCTTGATCAAAGACATCTGTTTACCAATCCCAAGCTGCCTCTTAATATAATAAGCTACCAATTCGGCTACAGGTCTCAGCAAACTGAAGTAATTACATGGAAACAAAATTTCTATTTTTAGCAACAGTGACCTTGACCTTGATCACAGACATCTGGGTAGCAATCCCAAGCTTCCTCTTGATATAAGCTATCAACACACCAAGTGTGGCATCAATAGGCCACAGCAAACTGAATAAATTTTGAACGGAAACCGAAAGCGAAACCCGCCAGTCTGTGTTAAAAACCAGTAACCTTGGTTAGTATTAGACCACTAGCCAAAGACGTTTAAGAATTATTTTGTATATTACCTTTGTTTTAGTATGACTAGATATAACATTTTGTTTTTAATTTAGTTGTACAGACCTGTCTTTTTTTTGTTAATTGCTTATTTGTTTTATTGTGTATGTTACGGCTTGGTTTATACATAATTTATTTTTTAGTTTGATTGTGTAGGAACCAACCAGTACTGAGCAATGAGTGTGAAGTTTCTTGCTCAAGCCCCCAACTGGGTGTGAACCCATGCGGCTAGCAATCATTAGATTACTAGTCTGACCTGTTAACCGCTACCCCATGCCCCACTGGTACGACTGTAGTGGAAAATAATTTGTTCTTTTTATTGTAATCTTATCCAGTACAACAAAATAAACACAAAAAGTCAAAAATTATATTGTCAAAAAGAAACAAAGTTATTTTTAAAAACCTAAGAGTTCCTTTTGTATGGTCGCTCAAACTTTTGACATGATTATAAGACTGCCATATAAACGGCTAATCTTGACACCCCTATAACAAATGTTACAAACCAATTTGTCTTTGTTCCCTCCTGGATATATTTAGATCTCCATTATTAATGATGTGCTCCCACCATGGTTCCTTGTCATCATCATGTGTGTTTGTTTTCTCCAACGCCTTACCCAGCATATTGTAAACCTTTGCTTTTAATGTTGATATTGGCGCACCTAAAAATATTTTGCTTCATTCTTAGTTTATACACATTTATTTTAGTTTGACTGTGTTGCAAGCTATATGCTTATTGAAACACTCTTGAATAAGTTCCTGGGACCAAATAGTACTAAGCAATGAGTGTAAAGTTTCTTGATCATAGAAACATGGTCTACCCTAGATGGGGATTGAACCAACGCAGCAAGTAATCCTTGGATTACAAGTCTGATTTGTTAACTACTCAGCAATGCCGCCACTCAACAAAGCTTCATTTCTTTCAGGTATTACTTCCAACTAGATGCCCAAGAGCAACATGTCAAGCCCGCTTTTTGAACTGTAAAAAGCAACCTGTTACATTTGACCTTGAGCTTTGACCTAGTCAAACAGTTCTTGCATGCGACATGCCATCTCATAATATTGAACATTTGTGCCAGGTTATTTGAAATTCAACCAGCTAGTGATAGACAAGCTTTTGACCTTAAAGTATGACCTTGACCTAGCCACACAGGTCTTGCCACATGCCATCTCATGATGTTGAACGTCTGGATGGAAACACACATGTACATGTACATACATTGAACCACTATTGTCACAACTATGTCAAGCTCTCTGCAAGCAGGCTTGACAAAATTCATTTATGTTATGTTTAATAAGGTCTACTACCTTACACAATTAGAATGTTCATAAAATTTTCTACTCCTTTATTGAAAGAAGAAAACCTCAGATGTCACTTAATGCATATCTTCAGGCATGAGGTGGTCACCTTAGTAAGTAGAATTATTGATGTGTAGACCTTCTTTATTATTAGCTGAATAGGTGTTACACATAAAGGAATTCAAGTCAAGCAATTTTCAAAGTATTTAAGTAATTCAAATATTGATATAAACAATAAAATGGTAGTATTATAAAATATTTCTAGAAAAAAAAATGTTGATACTGTTCTAAATGCACGTCATCTCATCAGTTTACCTGCATATGCTGGGTCTAGAACATTTGATGATGGGGATACATTCTTTGTACTTTGCCCAGTGTTTCCTGAAATATTTAACAAAAATCATCAGTGTCTATTCTAGGATTTGGAAACCAGGGGTGATTTTTATCGAAAAGTGAAAATTTATTAAATTTGTTGATTATTTCCTCCTTTCTCTATGTAAAATTTTCCCCCTGCCTCTGAAAAAATAGGGGGGATTTCTCAACAAGAGGGCCATGATGGCCCTGAGGTCGCTCACCTGTATAAAGGCACCCGGAGCGGGGCCAGTTTAAACCCCAAGGCTTTTATTTGAACAAACTTGGAAGACATCCATTAGAAGATGTTTCACAGTGTTAAGTTTTTACTACACACATATAATGTAAAACAACGATCTATCCTCCCTTCCTCCCCCCCACCCCCGGCAGGGCCAATTTTAACCCAAGGGCTTTTATATGAACAAACTTGGTAGACACCCATCTAAACATGCTAAACATCTAAGCTCTAGCTCATTGGGTTTTTTTAAAAGAAAATGTTTTAAGTTTTTACTATACACATATAGTTAAAACCAATGACACCCCTGGGGCGGGGCCAGTTTTGACCCCAGGGCTTTTGAACAAACTTTGTAGACACTTACTAGAAGATGTTTCATGCTTAATATCTAAACTCCAGCTATTTGGGTTTTTTCAAAGAAGATTTTTAAAGTTTTTGCTATACACATATAAGGAAAATCAATAAGACCCGGGGCGGGCCAATTTTGACTCCAGGGCTTTTATTTGATCAAACTTTGTAGACACTCACTAGAAGATGTTTTATGCTTAATATCTAAACTCCAGCTATTTAGGTTTTTTCAAAGAGATTTTTTAAGTTTTTGCTAAATACATATAAGGAAAATCAATGACCCCCTGGGCGGGGCCAATTTTGACCCCAGGGCTTTTATTTGAACAAACTTGGTAGACACCCATTAGAACATGTTTCATGCTAAATATCTTAGCTCTAGCTCTTTGAGTTCTTTAAAAGAAGATTTTTTAAGTTTTTACTAATTGCATATAGGGAAAATCAATGACCCCCTGGGGCGGGGCCAATTTTGACCCAAGGGCTTTTATTTGACTTTGTGACAGGTGAGCTAAAAATATGAGTGAATCCCCCCATCCCCCATACAGACACTGAATCATTATACAAATTTTTAAATATTGGTCAAGCCATTTAAATTTTTTAAAGTTTAAAGTCTTACACAACATAACTACATGTACATAAATTATTTAGTTTCAGATTGAAAATTTTCAGCAAACAGGTAAAACCATTTTTAGTTAGTTTATACAAATTTATTTTAATTTAATTGTGTTGGAAGCTATAAGCTAATTAAAACACTCTCGAATCTGTTCCTGAAAGCAACCATTACTAAGCAATGAGTGTAAAGTTTCATGCTCAAGGAAACAACAACTTGCCCCTGACAGGATTTGAACCCATGCTGCCAATAATCCTAGTTGGACCACTAGTCTGACACGTTAACCACTTGGCCATGTCGCTTACATAACCATTTCTTTGACAGGTTATATAGCACATCACAAATGATTGTTAAGTTTATATAACCAATGCAGCAAAACAAATGATTACATAGCTAATAACCAATTATTTTCTATAGCCATTAAGGCTCCCACGTTAACAATTTTTTGTAAACGTTTACACGATTGCTAAGAACTGAAACGATACCGTTTAAATGGTGGTACTTCTATGTACTATACTACACCATGTATTCAAGTCGCCAAATGATGACATACTTTCTATTTTGATATATGTACAAATAAATAATGTTTAGAGCTCATCACGATTGTGTGGGCAAACATTTTCTGCCTTGTATCCCCATTGCGCTCTTTTGAAAGATCAAAGGAAAATCAACTTTACCAAAAATGTATTATGCCACAAGCGATTATTGCACAGTGATGCTGTGTGGAGGGTTGTAAACACCCATTTTTCATTTTTACTTTGGAATAAACCAATTGGAATTGATAAAATCCATGAGTAAAGGCAATGATTTTGTAAGACAATATGGTCATTTCGATTAAACAGTAAAAAAAATTTGTAAACGTTTACGGATAAAATGGAAACAAATCTGTTTAAATGTGTAACCTTTGGGGCCTTAATAACCATATTGCTCATCTAAAGTAGAATTTCTGTCTTTGATTCAAATGAAAATTAATTCATAAAATTCCAACAATTGTACTTTATTGATAATATAAATGTCTAGTCCTTTAAAATATCATTATAACTTAAGAGACAAACATAACAAAGTCCAAAACAAAGTTGAGCGGCGGCATGCCACTGTGACCTTGACCTACTGACCTCAAATTTTATAGGGGTCATTTTCATGTCATGACTAACCTTCACACCAAATCCTTGGACTGGCTTCTCTTAAGCATTCTTAAGCATGAAGTAGTCATGGCAATGGTGACCTTGATCTTCACTAATGACTTCAAAATCAAAAAGGGTTATCAAATGGCAAGTGGAAATGTTCCTACCAAATTACATAAACCACCTTTTATGCTGTCTTAAGTTATTGAGGTGACAAAGATGAGGTTATGTATGTACATTCAGACTGACATTATGCTACCAATTTTTGAGTGGGGGCATAAAATCACATCAGAACGCAACAGAAAATTAGGTCAAATGTTTAAAATCACTTAAAAACACCATATAAAACTGTATCCAGAGAGCCCCTAACCTGACTTTCAAATACTAAATCATGATGTTTGAATAATTACCAGTGGCTCCTTGCAAGCTGTTATCTAGTGAAGTTAACGATGACAATGATGATGATGTAAGATTAGAACTGGACCTGACGGGCGTCCTTGACATCTCCGGATCACTCATCCTTTTCGGAGGACTTTCTCTTTTATTCTCTCTCTTATAAAGGTCAGTTGACCACTGGTTATCAGCTGATTGATGGCTAAATGATGAACTGCCCTGAAGCCCTGCAGAAACTCCTGGTGACGAAGCATAATGCTCTAAGAAAAAAGAAATCCAATGTGAATAAAGAAGGAATATAAATTTAAAACAAACTCAGTACATATAATACTGCTTGTTTGTAACGTCTTTTTTTATTGGATAATCGTGACGTTTATATAAAATCTTTTTACATTTTTCTCAAGTTTGATCTTCTTGAAATAGTTTGTCTTATCTGTAGGCATGCAGCTTTAAAGTTTGAAAACTCTAAAAATAATTCTGAAATCAAATATTGCAGTGTGGCAAAATATGTAAATAATAAATATATGATTTACCTGTATGTTGATTCCTTCTGTTTCCACCATTATCCCTTTCATCAGGATCCTTTAGTGAAAAAAAAAATCTTGGTCTGTTTAATTTATATAAAACATTAAAGCATGAAAATATATACAGCTTGAACTCACTACCAAATCCACTCCCCTGTTTTATTGTTTTTTTGGGACATTTGAAAATGTTAATTTCTTGACTAGCTTCTAGGCCCGCGCCTATATGGCCTAATAGTAGCTATGCCACTGAGAGGCCTTTATTTTACAAAATAAATGTTGCTGTTGTTGTATATAGGAACTATTTTGTTATGTTTTCCAAGGTACAATGATATTTGACAGTTATCAGAAATGAGAGAATGAAACTATTTTTGACATGGTGCCACGAGACAAGAATATAATACAAGAGGGCCATGATGGCCCTGAGTCGCGCACCAGAAACAACTGCTTTTCAGTGTTGGAATGTCAACATATTCTCATATTAAACTTGAGCATAGAATATGTTTAAACAATATTTTGAAGAAATGCCATGACCTGGGGCATTAAAGCTTAAGCTTAAACAGGGCTAATCAAATAAATATGAGCAAACTTGATAAAAGACTACCTAAGGATGCTACAAAGTTTGGTGATCATCTATCAATTACTTCAGTAGGAAATGATATTCAAAGGTTTTTTATTTTTAGCTTTAGTGACCCCTAAAAGGGGCTAATCAAATTAAGCAAAATTGATCAAAGATTACCCAAGAATGCTACATACAAAGTTTGGTGATCATCTTTCAATAAGTTCTTTAGAAATAGACATTTAAAGGTATTTCTATTTTTAGCTTTTGCGACCCCTTAAAGGGGCCAATCAAAATAATATTAGCAAACTTGATAAAAGACTACCCAACAATGCTACAGACAAAGTTTGGTGATCATCCATCAATTAGTTCTCTAGAAATAGACATTTTACGGTATTTCTATTTTTAGCTTTAGTGGCCCCTATAAGGGGCCAATCAAATTAATATGAACAAACTTGATAAAAGTCTACCCGAGAATGCTGTCGACAAAATTTGGTGATCATCCATCCATTAGTTCTGTAGGAGAAGATGTTAAAAGGTTTTTTCTATTTTTAGCCCTAGAGACCCCTAAAAGGGGCCAATCAAACTAATATGAGCAAACTTGATAAAAGACTACCCAAGAATGCTACAGACAATGTTTGGTGATCATCCATCAATTAGTCCTGTAGAAGAAGATGTTTAAAGGTTTTTCTATTTTTAGCTCTGCTGACCCCTAAAAGGGGCCAATTGGAATGACATGATCAAATTCAAGTGTGACTGTCACAAGGATGCTACAGACCAAATTTGAAGTAAATCTGCCCAGTAGTTTCAGAGAAGAAGACGATTGTTGACACATGATGACAGACGACTGACGCCGGAGCATCCCCCTTTGATATTAATAGCTCAACCTGAGCCTTTCGGCTTTGGTGAGCTAAAAAACACCTGCAACAACATTACAACAGCATGTCATCACCTTAGTGCAATAACTGGTTAGATTTAAAAGGACTAAGCCGTTATTGCACTAAGGTGACGATGATTAATTCCACTAATGCATTGTTTTCTTCTCCATTAAAGGCCCATTATTATTATAAGTCACACATAACAACGGCACACGGCTGACATGATTTCATCCATTAATGTACTATGTTTTCGTGTCCATAAATGTATACCTGTTTCTGCAGTTTTTATGCAAGTATATTATTGTTTAAGAATTCTTTACTCTATCTTTCAAGCTATTTCAATAGTGTGGAAAAGGTAAATTTTTTTAATGAGCTCAGATTAATCAAATATGTAAAAATTCCTATTCAGCCATTATTTAGCCATTATTATACAATTTTAAAATTGAGAACTTTTTTTTTACTCAGGTGCCCGTTTGCACCCGAAATAATGCACGGAAGAGCATCTGAGTTCTTCTACCACCAGCGATGTTGCCATGTGACCTTAGAGTACTGTGTTGGTGCCATAGCTAATTATTAGTTGGAATGCGTCACCACAGTCAAGGTTATATGGCCACCTTCTATGTTAACTCATGACGAAAGACCTCAAATCTACCTCCATGCATTATTTCAGCTAAGTAGATCCACTGATGTTCTATAAGCTACCTGGATTCTAAGCTTCCTCAAATAAAAGAATCCAAAGTTCCTGGTGGGGTTCAAACTGAATTTTTATACATTATAAATTTTTTGTAGGATAATTATTTACATTAGTCATATAAATTCACCACAAATACATGATAATTCTTTTTCACATTCGACAGACCTACCTCAACTATTCCTAAGTGTCTTTCTTCTTCTGATATCAATGAAAGTACTTCTGCTAGACGGGTTTGTTGTTTTGCAAAATGCTTTCTGAAATATACATGTATAAATGAATCCTGATCAACTCAACCTTTAAAGGGATTCCACTAAGGTTTGAAAGCCTAAAAACATAACATTTGAATTTCTTACATACATTGTAAGTCAGCTGGGGTACTTTAAACAGAAATATGCAAAGATAATTAAGAAATATACTTTGAAATAAATTGAAAATCGTATTTTTATGCTTTTCTTAGCCCAATTTGAGTGAAATTTAGTGTTTAAACACTTTTCATTGTTGGTCATTTTTTACAATATGAATTAATTATTCTGGAAAAAAAAAGTGTGTGAAAGATCTGAAATTTTGCACGAAGATTAGTGGTCTTAAACTATATTAAATGATGCATTTATCTGGAAAAAATATTTGCAGTCCCATCATGTCAAAAAACCTCAGTGGAGTCCCTTTAAACTAACTCGGCCTCAAGTCATCTCTGCCCTATACTAATATGTATCCCATGCCCAGTTGGTATAGGATCAAGTTGACCCTTTACATGTATAGATTTAAGTTTCAAACAAAACATATATGAAATACTTCATATATCGAAATGAAAGTATCCCAGCAATAGGGAGAGCATCAGATTAGTAATACTTGGGCAGCTAGTTGATAAATGATCCGCGTCACAACAAAATCAACATAATGGGTTTGCGACCATCCCCACAGTCTGATCAGGATCGATGCTGTTTGCTTACCAATCCTATTACAAGTAGAGAAACTGATAGCAAACAGCATGGATCCTGATCAGACTGTGCGGATGCAAACCCATTATGTTGGTTTTGTTGTGACGCGGTTCATATGATCTCAGACTTACGGTCAGTTGTCTCTCACCACTGCTTCATGCCGATCAAGGGCAGAGAAATTTATAATACTGGTTAGCTATAGAGGAAAGGTATATCAACCAAGTTATTTAACCAAAAGTCAGCATAAAAATCCAAACAAACAGACAGCATAGGTTAGGGAAAGTATATTGGTTCCAGGAATATACTCCCTACAATTGCCACTTGAAACAGTAAGAAAATAATCTGTTTGTTTATTCATTTTGTTTTACGAGGCATCAACACAGTTTAGATCATATGGCACTGAAACAGGAAAGATGATTTTGGCAAAACCTTGGGTTTTACACTAAACTCCGGGATCAAAACCACCTCACCTGCTTGAGCTAAGAGATGCACTATTGACTCCATTATTTTGAACCAATTTAGTTGCCTCTTACAATCATGCAGGGATAAACGGTGGCTGCATTGTCGGCAATCCCTTAGTCACAAGGGGTAAGAAAATAATTTACGTTGAAAAGTATTAGAATCAAATTTTAGTGTAAATGACCTTGATCTAGTCTCTATCTACAGTGTACCATTGTAGGATACCCGAACCATGTTAATCAACCGTGGGTATCCACTATCCAACAATGCTTAACTACAAACTGAACACATGTACCTAACATAGCAGTTATAAGACAAAAACTTGACCAGTAAAAGTAGAAATACATTTCTGTTCTTCATCCAATACAACTCAAATATCAACCAATAGAAGATGTTCATGCAAGAATCGATAAAATTGTTTCACATTCTAAATGATTATCTAGAGAAAATAAGAATCCCTACAGAAATCCTCGCACATCAAAATTGAAAATGTTGTAAGAGCTGTTTAGCAAATCTTAGTAAAAACTTTAAATCTTTGAGAATATTTCCTTTTTTTTACCTGATTTGAGCCATGAAAATTTTATAAACATCAGCTTGTTTTGAGTGTCGTAGTGCTGCAATAAATTTGGGAAACGATCCTGGCCTTCTCTTAATGGCATCTAGAAAATTCATCACAGCATATGCTTCCCCATGGTTCTTTATTTCTGCCTTAATACTTTGTATTGTCATCAAACTAAAACCAAACTGTTCCATATAATGCAGAAGATCTACAAATAAATAAATTTAAATTTGTCCAATGAAAATCAATGTTTTAAACCAAATTGTTCCATTTGATGCAGAAGGTCTACGAATAGATAAATTTAAAGCATTTTAAAGACCCACTATGCCTTAGAAATGCTATTATTTTTATTTCTTAAAAGCTTTTTTTTCCAAAAAGGTACTCATTTGCTAATTACCTGAATCATCTTTTCCTTCTGTTGCCTTTTGACTAGCCTTATTAATTTGGCATGAACGGTTTGACCCATTTTACAGACTTTTTTTCATACTGTCAAACTGTTGGAAAAAGACATTGCCCATCCAAAATTATCTCCATGTCTCTTTGACAAGTCTAACTCTACTACTGGTACCTACTAATATAGTGTCTGTCTATCAAAGGGCTTAGAGCGAGTTCTCAGAGTGTGAGTATTAACAGAGACAAAGATTACAGAGATAGGCAACTTCCTAGCCAGTTAAAATATCACACGTGCCTGCTAAACTTAAAACTTGTAGCAAATACAACTAATTAATCAGATATCAAAATCAGTAAAATAATATATTTTCTGAAAGCTTATGTATTTGTCTACGGCTGCAGGTAAAAATATTTACAGTTCCCATTTAAATAAATGATACATCAATTTTTAAAGAGAACTTCTTAATAATTTTTGTTACAAAACTATTCATATGACGAAAAAAATGGGCTCAGTGGGTACATGTATGTTCTGCTATGTTTTTCTAAGTGAAAGGCATGGAAAGTTACCAATATTTTAACATGTAGCAATAGATAAAAAATTTATGTTTCAAATGGTATATAATATTAAATGATCAAATGTATATCCATTAAGTTTTATGTCACAGGGTGAGAAAAATGTGCAGCCTGTCCGGGACTAAAACCCAGGACCTTTGGAATACCATACCACGGCTCTACCGATTGAGCTATCCGGCCCCTTACACATCTTCTCCCCTAAATAGTGAACAGTTCTGAAATGTGACATACTCCCCTGCTATAATAAAATTCGTCCTCGAATTTCACAGAGTTACATGTACAGAGCAGTGTAAATTAAACTCTGAGCTATATCAGTCACGGTCCCCCGTTGGGCGCCAAATGTCACAGGGTGAGAAAAATGTGCAGTCTGACCGGGACTCGAACCCGGGACTTTCCAAATACCGTACAGCGGCTCTACCGACTGAGCTTCTTCTCCCCTAAATAGTGAACAGTTCTGAACTGTAACATTTATTTACTACAAAATGCCTAATTTTTCACTTTTCGATAGGCATGAGTGTTATTTCAATGACAATGGAGTATAAAGGAGCTGCTTATCTCTGTTATCTATGTCTCTGATATTTAATCAATATGGTGCTAAAATGTTTGAAGATGCCATCCTAGACAGTAATTCTTTCCATTTACATTTAATCACTGCAAAAGTTAAGTGGAATGACAGACTATTCTCTCCCTTACCAGTTCCCCCCCCTGACGGTTCTCTCCCTAACCGTTTCCTCCCCTGACGGTTCTCTCCCAAATTTGAAATATGCAGACAGTTCTCCCCCAATTTTATTTTTATAAGTTATCATTTTAGTTTTGACTTAATCTAATAATATTTCTTAATGAAGATTATGAAACAGAACAGAACAGAACAGAAATTTTATTCAAGATTTGTACATGGTACATCATCTTACAATTTGTACAATTTAAATATACTATACAATAGTCACATGACATTTAATGTACATAAATATAGCTATAGATCTTAACATACATACTGTTAACAATGAAAATATAGATAAAGAATACAACATTAAATATTCTATTTACTTCCTACATAGAGGATTAACCATTCATTATTACATATTATAAGACATGGATGTTCTATTAGCCATAGCATCTCTGATATAGTAAGCCAAGTTACATAATATTTTCTTATTATTACAATTTAACAATTCAATAAATTTGAACATACTTGGTCTAACATAGTAGTATCTCTTAATATATTTTTTACGAATTTCAAGAAAACAGGTACATACTAATATAAAATGGTATTCATCTTCAATGTCACGAAGATTACAATATATACAATATCGTTCATTTCTAGGAATTCTGTTTACACCATAACGTCTGGTTTGTATCAGTAATGCATGTGAAGACATATGTATTCTACTTATATAAGTTCTAAGATTTCCTGGTATAAGATCTAAATAATGTTCATAACCAAACCCACTCTTCAAATTATTATACAAATTCAAAACTGGGCTACCATTTATGTCAGAATGCCAGTTTTGTAAAAAGTTATCTATTACACGTTGCTTAAATTCGCAGATAAAAGAATGAAAAGAATGTGTTTGATATTAACTGCATTTTATGTTTTATGTTTATCAGCTGAAAAGTGTTTGTAAATTTAACACCTTTTTTCAGCATTTTAATCCTATCAACACCTTTATTGTGAGAGATATAGATCATAATGGACAGTGATTGATATACACCTGTAATTATGTTAAGGTCTAGCTTGTGATGTTCATTCATTTGTTAAATAGTGAATAAGGTTGAAACAAGTATGTTCTAGAAAATAAATAAACAACAACTGGTATGGAAACACATTCCACATTTAATTTTTTACGAAATTGATTTAAAAACATGTAGTCATTAACTTGAAACAATATTTAATACCAAATAACTAATATAATACTTATTCATCAACACCTTTTCACAGCTATTTTAATCTAATCAACACCTTGATTCTTGAGTAATGAAGTAATAAACACCTCAATTATCACTGACAGCAAACTTAACGCATACATGTGTGTATTGAACTCCTTTTTTTTCATTATACAAAAGTTAAGCAATTAAAATTTATTAATCATTTTTTGCCTATAAATTTTATTTTATTTAAAAAAAAAAAAATAATATCTTATGATTATCCTAATCAAATAAATTATTCATTTATTATTTTCAATGACTAAACACGTTAAAAAGTATACATTACATCTAAATAAAAAATCAGAATAATTTACTTATATCATCATTGATCAATTATTGATCAATTATTATTATATGTTAAAAAAAGTTTTTCTAATTCAATTTATATCAATTGATAATAATGTTACAAATTTATTAAACATCTAAATATATAAACCTACCCATTTATTTAACATCTAAACACTTCAATAAAATCTATTTTTTTTAAATTTATATCAATTGATAATAAACTTACCCATTTATTTATCATCTAAATACTGTAATAATAACGTAATTATAAAAATAAGAATGGGGAGGAACCGTCTGCTTATTTGCAAATATGCAGACAGTTCTCCCCCAAAATAGGGAGAGAACCGTCAGGGAGGAAACGTCAGGGGAGGAACTGGTAAGGGGGAGAATAGTCTGACTACCAAGTTAAGTCATGCCTTTTTTCCCAATTTTTAACAAAACATCGCTGAAGTTCCCAATTCCATGGGAATGGGTCATGTTCCCAAAATCCTGGAAAAAAAAACACCCTGAGTCAGTTTAAGTAACAGTAAGGTTGTATATATGACCACATGGATGATGGAGCTAAACAGCTAAATATTTTTTTATATATCTGTGATAACCAGAACACTGCTGTAGAATGCCTTTCCAATATCTAATTAACCATTTATTCTAACAACAAGATAAAATACAAAAATGTACCTTGTTTAAGAACAATTTTGTCTAAAATTAAAATATTAATTATCTAAAACAGTAAAACGTACATCAGTGTTCATTAACATGTTAAAACTCAAATTTCATATGAGTTGACAAACCTGCTAAATTAATTATGTCCTTGATCTTGACAATAACTTCCTTATTTATGTTTTCTACGTCCTTAAACTCCATAGTCGATCTGTGATTAAGTCCAATCAAGAAAATTAATCAATTCAAAACCGAAAGTAGGTGACATCCATAATCGCAACTTCTGGGGCCTTTCTGTCAAACTTCGGATAAGAATTATTATCAATAATAACCAAAATATTCCGCTTGCAAATGAAAAGTGAAAGGAACACTTTTCGCGGAAAAAGCCGCACGCGTCCAAAACGACAAAATTATTAATGTTGCATGCTCGGTTTGGTGCATGGGCAGTACTGGAAAGTTCAAGTAGCTGTCCATGCCACTGGCATCATGAAAAGGGTGAAATTTTGAATCAAGAAACATCTGCAGATGTGTTCATATGGAGGTTGTCATGCAACCTTGAACAGCGTAAACCATTTAATCACACACCCGTGCCGATTTTGCGACTCAGTAAATATGGTATTGCACGACCGTGCATATATTTTGACGTGACGCCATTAGCGTTATACAAACATAGTGTAAAGACGGGCTAAATGTTAGCGTTATACTATAGGCGCGTCAATGAAAAATGACTCTTACGTCATTACTTTCATCAGTCTTTATTTTGGGTATGTGATAAAAAGAATATTAGATTTGTCTAAGTTCATTACTGAATTTATTGCTATCGTTGAATAAAATATTATTATGCTCGCCAAAGGCTCGCATAATATAATTTTATTCAACTCGTGCAATAAATTCAGTATTGAACTTACACTCATTCAATATCATCTATGTCTGATAATATTAATGTTGTCAGTTCACCCTATTTTGAACAATCCGGTTCAGTTTTAAAAGTGACATAAAAAAATGATCTTACGAAATCAACAACAAACATTATAAAATTTATGTAAAGAGAAGACAAATTAAGATAAATGCAGCTCTGTTATGAAATTGTTAAAAGACAACAATTTTGAAATGCCTATAATAAAAGTAATGATAAAAATGTTCATCTCAGAAGAATTGCTTACAATATCGAGAAAGAGTGATCCTTTAGAAGCATTAAAAATCAGTCAAATAAAATGAAAATTGCAAACTGACATTGATTGTGTCGGTACATGAGGGAAATTATGAAAAGTGCAACATCCCTCACTTGATCGATACTTGATCGACTTGATCGATACTCAGTTTTTATCACTAAAAAGTGCTGGAATCAATAACCCCGAAGTATCAGAAAAATATAACAACATTGAAGTGAAGTATGGGGCAACTTTTTTACGGCTGCCAGTGGCCACATGTCACTTAACACCAACTGTTGTGACACATAAATACAGATGCATCTGGGGGAAAAATATCCCTCGGAAGCATTAAAATATAAAGTCAAAAAAATTTAAAATAAATATTGTAGCTCGACTTGGCGGAAAACTAAATTTTTCAATCTAAAATTTGCGGTGAATCAATATCCAAAAAGGGACAAAAATTGGGAAATTTTTAAAACATTTAAAAAAATGTTTTTTAAAGTAACCAAAAATTGGATAAAAATTGAAAATAAATTTGGGAAATTATAACTTTTAAGTAAAACAATTTTTTTAAATAAAAATTAAAATAGATTTATCATTACTTTTGTAATTCCAAGAAAAATGAAAAATTTAAATTTGGGGAAATTTTCAGATTGCCGAGATACTTTTTTTTTTTCTTTTTGGCCAGCCCACTTTTTAAAAATTGAAGTTTTTTTAAAAAATACATAAAACCTTTTTTTTAATAAAACAATTTGACCTTTTTTAAAGAACAATTTTCCCACGGATTTAAAATTTCAATTATATTATTTTTGTAATTTTAATTTTAAAACCCGGGGTTAAAAAATGGGCCCTACATTGTATACCCCAGAAAATTAAATCACTGGGGGTTTTCATTTTTGGGGGCAATTTTAAAGTAAAACTTACCCTTTTTTTCCCAAAAAAAATTTCAAAATTGGGGGACATAAAAGCATAGGGGTTTTATGATTCTAGCCGATCTCTGGGGAAAGTTTTTTTTTAAATAGAATTGAGGTTTCTGGTGCATTTACACGAACGCAATAACAAATTCATGGTTCTAAAGTTTTCCAGAAAATTTCAGTCTTTGGAGCATGCAATAGCGTTAAATGCCATTTTTCTTTAAATACTAAATGATAACGTTAGCTTCTGGTGCAATTTTCAGGTGCACATTTTATAATTCACACTCTACATTTCCCAGAATGAATTATATCAGACGTGCAACGATGTAATTTTCAAAAGGTGGAAGATGAAAACTGAAAGTTTACTGAATTCTAGATAGAAACAGTATCAGTTTTGCAGAGGGGAAGAGGCTATAAATGACCACTGCAGAACAGGGAAAAAAGAGGGAAAAGCCTTCTGTAGAAACCTTAAAAAGAAATGATTCAGAAATGCTTTAAATATTTTAAAAATTTTTTAAATTTTAGGGCCTTTATTTTTTTTGGGAAAAATTTAAAAATTTAAGCCCAAAGGCAAATGTAAAAGGGTTAAAACTTAGTCCATTCTTTGGGGTATTTAAAAATTTACCAGAAAGATCAAATTCAAAGGAAAGGGACTCTTTCTTACATTTTTTTATCTATTATTCTGTAGACTTTTGAATCTGCCTCAAACAGTGACAGTGTTATGGACAA